GGCACCGAAAAGCCACCGGAGGTGAACCAGGGAGAGCCCCAAAGCCTGGTAATGGGCTTTACAGAGGGAACATGCATGAGTGGGACCCCCGCAGGGCTCCGTGGGGATGAGGACAGGGTGGGATGGCACCCCGAGACCCCATCTGCTCTGCATCCCCGGACCACGCCAGCACAGTGATCCCATGGTCCCATCTTTCAGTGGCTGGACGGGGCCAGCAGCACAAGCGGCTGCTTCCCTGCCTCGAGGCCAAGCTGCTGCGCTGGTGACCACTCCGTGGTGTCACCTGGGCATCACAGCACGCTTAGGTGGTGGACCAAATGGTTCGTGATGCTGGTGTGGAAGGTAGCCACAAACCCCAGGAACAGTGGCTGCAGGGTAGGGGGGGGTGGAGGGTCCCTGGCCACGGCGCAGGAACCAGGATGTGGAGGTTCCTTGGCCACGCTGCAGTAACATGGTCTGGGTGTGTGTGATGCTCACCTGCATCCTCTGCAAAGGTCCAGCCCCTCTGCAAAGAGCCCCAACTCCGCGGTCTGTGCCTCCTCCTCCTCCTCCTCCTCCTCTGCTCCACTCCTGCAGGACCGAGACTTCATCATGACCTTCAATACCTCACTGCACCGCTCGTGGTGGATGGAGAATGGGCCGGGCTGCCTGGTGACGCCAGTGATGAACTCCAACCTGGCGCCTGAGGACCATCATGTCATCACTGTCAGCGGCTGCCTGCTCGACTACCAGTACATCGAGGTAGTGAGCAGTGCCACGCAGATATTCCTGGCGGTAAGGGCAGCTGCTGGCACCTTCCCTTCTCATCCCGAACAGCGAAGCAGAGAGAAGGGGCGATGGCAGGGACCGGGGCGGGCACAGCCACCGTGGTCCGGCTGGAGATGTCCCATCGTGCCGTCATGCACCCATTTTTATAGCATCAAGAGTGGTGTTGGCTCAGGGGTGGGAAGCATGGAGCAGCCGGAGCCTGTGCCAGCACCCCAGGGTGGTGACCACCCCAAAAGCTGGCAGGCCATGGGCCAGATGCTGGAAGAATCAGGGAGTTCTCGGTGGGATGGAGACATACCTGGATGAGAAGTTCCTGGAGAGGTATATAAATAAAGGTTTAAGGGGAATTGGTGTCCAGAGCAGCTGCCATGCACCCGCCAAAGGGGCACCCAGTGCTCCATGGAGCTCAGCACCCTCTGCGTTGCCGTCCCAGTGCGGTGCCAGCCTGTCCCTGCCAGGGCCACCACCCATGTCTCCTCGGCACACCTGAAACCATCCAACCTCTCTGCATCCCAAATCAGCACCCAGACCCACCAGAGATGGGCTCCAGCACTGTGACAGCACTGATCCTGCCCGGGGTGCCCCCAGGATGCTCCCAGGCATCCACCTCACAGCACCCACCTCTGTCCCCCCACCGACACCATGCGGATGCCCATCACCCCGATAACCAGCTTCTCTCTGCCCACTCTTGTTTCGCAGCTCTTTGGCTTCGTCTACGCCTGCTACGTCAGCAAAGTGTTCCTGGAGGAAGAAGACAGCTGTAAGTGCTTTTGCTCTCAGTCGTGGGGAGGGGGGAAGACCCACAGCGCTGCAAAATGCCCTCGGATAACACAGGGCAGCGCCTCGCCAGGGCGGCAGCTCCCGGCCGGGGATGGGGGAGGGATGCCGGGGTCACAGGTGGGTGAAGGGATCCCTTTAGTTGGGCTTTTTGCCCCATTTTCCCGTCCTCAGTGAGGCGGATGCGCTGGGGTGTGAGATGCCACCTGTGTCACCAGCGGTGCCCCCTGCCACCTGCCTGGGAGAGGGTGCTGCACCCCGGCCGGGGATGGGAGAGGAGGGGGACTGGGACAGTGAGCCCTGAGCTGCTGCATCTGCCATGGGACTGCAGCACTCACAGCCTTTGGGTGCCGGACTGGGACTGGTTTCATCCCTTCACCAGCCTCTGAAGAGGCTGAGATGGTCCCTGGTCCCCACAGCAGCGTCACAGCACAGAGCCACCTCCCGTGGAAGCCGGGATGCTCATCCCTGTGCGCAACTGCTCAGGGGTGGATTTGAGACCAACATAGAATCATGGAATCACAGAACGGTTTGGTTGGAAGGGACCTTCAAGATCATCCAGTTCCAACCCCCCTGCCATGGGCAGGGACACCTTCCACTACACCAGGTTGCTCAAAGCCTCATCCAACCTGGTCTTGAACACTTCCAGGGATGGGGCAGCCACAACTCCTCTGGGCAACCTGGTTCAGTGCCTCACCACCCTCAGAGGGAAGAATTTCTTCCTTAGATCCCATCTAGATCTCCCCTCTTTCAGTTTAAATCCATTGTCCCTTGTCCTGTCACTCCACACCCTTGTCCAAAGCTCCTCTCCAGCTTTCCTGTAGTTCCTTTTAAGTACTGGAAGGTGCTGGAAGGTCTCCCTGGAGCCGTCTCTTCTCCAGGCTGAACAGCCCCAACTCTCTCAGCCTGTCTCCATAGCAGAGGTGCTCCAGCCCTCACATCATCTCCGTGGCCTCCTCGGGACCCGCTCCAACAGCTCCTTCTGATGTTGGGGATCTCAGATGTCACTCTCACTGCTCCCCATTGACCCAAATTCAGAGCATCTCCCCCAGATCCCTGCTCCAGCGTGGCAGTGAGCGGAATTGCCCTTGCTGTAAAGAGCCACCTCCACGCCCGGATAAATTCCTGGCAAACGCTCATCCTGGTGCGAATCCAGCGCCATGGGGGCTGCGGAAGAGCCGTCCTCCCGGCTCGTATGTCCTGGAGCCAACCATCACCGTTCCGACAGCCTTGGGCCTTGGGGACAATAAAATGGGAAATACTGCGTGTCCCCAGCCAGCATCCCCACAGCCCTCCTCCCACCTCGAGGCTTTTCCCCCCAAAAGCAGGGGTAAAACCAGCAATTTAGGCAAAGTTACAAGTTCATTTGTATACAACCTCTATGGTGCTTCCGGATCCGACAGCGATCCCTGCAAACACCCCTCCGGAAGCGCTGAGCACCCCAACTTCAATTAACTGGGTGCTTAAGGCTGTAGCCACCCAACCACATTAAATGCTC